CGGAACTGATCGTACAGTGGAGTAGTATACGCGACTTTTCAACTCAAGTGACACGTCACATCGACACCATAGGTGTTTTAGTCCTGCATACGCTGCTCGAGCCTTGGAAACGCGAGCGGTTATCTCCTTCGATGCGCTACTGTCGTTAGCCACGCAGCTACCTAAGTACGAGAAGCAATCAACTTCAGCTCATTCCAGACCGTCTAGTTTCAGAACAGAACTCGGCAACACCCAGTCTTCTAACATCATTTTGCACTTTGATGGTGCAAAGCACATGCCGAACGGAGCGACAGAACTGCTAATCTGTCAAGTGCTCTTCGTGCATCCCTCATACATTCGAACAAGCAGACGATGTCGTCAGCGTACTCTAAATCGAACAGCTTTTCTCCAGCTGCCCATTCTATACCTACATTTTGGAGACCACTTAGTGTGTTCCCCGGTATTTCGTCTATGACGAAATTGAACAGGAATGGCGAAAGAGGGCACCCTTGACAAACAGCGCTGGTAGTAACGAACGACCTACTCAGCTTGCCATAGACCACGCTACCAGCGGTATGTGAGTAGAGTGAACTCAATATGTTCACATACTTCTGCGGTATTCCTTTGCGAAGGAGTAAACCCATAAGGGATTCACGATCAGCTTTTAGGTCAAGGAACACGACAATCGTTGATCGACGGTGCGTATGGCGTAGCTCGAGGACTTGACGCAGAGTGAAGAGTTGACCAATACAACCGAGACCTGGTCGAAATCTTGCTTGTTGTTCGCGGATATTTGTCTCCCTAAACGGTGTCAGACGTAGAAGTATAATACAGGCTAGTAATTTGGTGACGATTGGGATCAAACTTATTCCACGGTGGTTTGCGCAGCCATTGCGAGATCCCTTCTTAAAAATGGGAACGATCAGTGATTNCTCGTGTAACCAGATGTTACGTATTAAATCAGTAATGGAGTCTACGAGGTCATCGCACCCCATCTTGAAGAGTGAGAGGAAGCCCGTCCGGCACTGCTGCTTTTCCTTTCATCAGGGCTTGGATGCAACGTCGAACTTCTGCTGCAGTAGGAAGTTTAGATGACACTGCCCACGGAGCCTCAGCTACATCGGAGATAGCCCGGTTAGCGCCTGGCCAGCTGAACTGTTCGTCGAAGCACTCCGCCCACTGATCAAGCCGATGTTCCCTATTGTGCATAGCTCGTCCACTTTTGTCGCAGATTGTTTCACTAACTGTGGTTCGTCAACCTCCCGTATTGCGTATCAGTTGGAACAGTCTTTGACTATTCCCTGATACAGCTGCTACTTCCATTTCACTAGCTATTGTTGCCCACCAGTTTTCACGGTCTTTCTTGATACTCTTCTTGAGTTGACGTTGCAGACGCCACCGAACCTTGCCTTGATCTCGGGCGGTCGGGATTTTCCGCTTTTTCTCTATCAGTGCTACTGACTGACCAGACATCCGATGCCTCGGTCTGGCCACCGCTTCAGATCCACAACCTCATTGCGGAATGCACTGTTCGGCTAATCTGATCCCATTGTTCATCTACAC